GCCAGCATGGCCTTGTTGTCGACGTACAGAACTGGAGGAGAACGAGGCGCCTTTCCCAAGTCGGTCAGCAGGTAGGTGAGCCAGCGTAACTCCTGTGCAGCCATGGCCCCAGCGTAGATCTCAGCCTCACAACTGGAGCTGAGAACAGAAGACGAGCGGGTAGACCGCCACGAAACAGAGCCGGAACCAAGGCTGAAGGTGTAACCCTGTGACGACCGCTGCGTAGCCAAGTCGTCAACCCAAGAAGCGTCTACGTGACTAGTGAGGACAACCCGAGCCCGTCCTCCAAGCACGAGCCCCATGCCCGACGTACTGCACAAGTAGCGCAACACCCTCTTAGCTGCATCCATGTGCTCTGGTCGGTGTCTCCCAGGAGCAACATAGCGTGCCAAGATGCTAAGAGGGTATGCCAGGTCAGGTCGAGTGCAGGTCATCAGGGACATGAGGCAGCCGACAAGCTCTGGGTATGGGCTGTCAGAGGTCCACTGGTGATCCCCGATTGATCCTAGGGAAGGGTTACAGGCATGTTGGCCTGGGGGGTTATGGGCGCACTGACCCGCTACTTAACAAGCCCTTTTATCCCAATGGTCTAGTGGTTGGGATTCTGACATGGTATCAGAGCGAAGGTCTCGGGTTCGAATCCCAGTGTGTGCACTTCGGGCATCCTAGTGCGGGGGGGTGTCAGAGGTCCACTGGTGATCCCCGGTTGATCCTAGGGAAGGGTTACAGGCATGTTGGCCTGGGGGGTTATGGGCGCACTGACCCGCTACTGAAACAAGCCCTTTTATCCCAATGGTCTAGTGGTTGGGATTCTGACATGGTATCAGAGCGAAGGTCTCGGGTTCGAATCCCAGTGTGTGCACTTCGGGCATCCCAGTGCGGGGGGGTGTCAGAGGTCCACTGGTGATCCCCGATTGATCCTAGGGAAGGGTTACAGGCATGTTGGCCTGGGGGGTTATGGGCGCACTGACCCGCTACTTAACAAGCCCTTTTATCCCAATGGTCTAGTGGTTGGGATTCTGACATGGGCCACTCGGCTCTACGGACTCATCCGAAGGCAGAGCTGAGAGCGAGTGGCGAGTAGACAGAGGAGTAGCCTGAGGCGAGGAGTACGTGAAGTTGAAGCGCTGAAGGACCTGCTGCACCATGTGTGACCGAGTCAAGGTAATGGTGCACCGTGCCCTGTCCCGGGTGATCTGCAAGCCAAGATAGCTGCGCAGCTCACCCAGGTCTGTGCACATGTGTCTCTTCTGCAGCTCCGACTTCACGTGGGCCAGTCCAGCAGTATCAGCATTAGCAAAGACCAAGTCGTCGACGTACACAAGGATGTAGAATGGCGGCAGAGTAGTGTCGGTGCGTAGAAACAGCGACGGGTCAACGGTGGAAGGAGCAAACCCAAGAGCTGCAAGCGTAGTCCTCAGTGTGTCGTGCCACTCACTGGGCACCTGGCGGAGACCATAGACTGGCCGCCGGATGCTCTACTGGGTACCAGGAGGAAACGACCCAGAGAAGCCAGGTGGGCGGCGCAGCCAGATCTCCTCGTGCAGGCTGCCCTGCAGGAAGGCTGTGCTGAAGTCAAGAGAGTGCAGCTCGTAGTCACGCTGAGCAGCGACGTGCAGCAGTACCCAAAGAGTGGTCATCTTCGGGGTGGGAGAGAAGGTTTTGGAAGAAGTCAACTCCCTGCTGCTGACTGAAGCCTCGAGCCACGTAACGCGCCTTGAAGACAGGCGGAGAACTCGGCGGCCGCTTCACCCTGAAAATCCACATGCCATCGACAATGTTCGCCCCAGGTGGGGGAACCTCGTCGACGTAGGTGCCTGTGGACTTCCAGGAAGCCATCTCTGCGTCCATGGCTGTCTGCCACTGAGAGGAGTAGGGTCCCTCTATCGCCTCTGCGTAAGAGCGCGGGGTCGGGATGCCTAGTGCATCCGGGTCTCCCTCAGGGGCAAGCAGCATGGACACGAGATGAGGTAAAGCAACAGCAAAAGACTGGAACTCCTCCTGCCTGTCCTTAAGGACGTCCGTGCTAAGAGCACACTCACCCCCGACGGACGGAGGACAGACAGACGCAGACTCAGCAACAAGACTAGCGGCGTAGTCTAGACGACAGTGAGCAGCAAAGTTGACAAGCTCAGCAACTAAGGCAGACGCAGCAGTGGACTCAAAGGAAGGGTCAGTGACAACAATGGCCAGGAGACGCGTGACAGTAGGACTAGCAGCACGAAGGGAGTCAGACTCCGGGTCAGCAAGCGCAGGAAGAGAGGACTCAGGAGGAGACAGCAGAGGGACACGCTGCGGAGCAGTGGAAGGACGCAGAACCATCTGGTGTGTGCCAGGGACAGGAGGAGGACGCTGACGCAAACCACGACGACCAGTGCGAGCAGCACGAACAGGCAACGCAGGACGAGACTCAGGCTCACGACGCTCCGTAAGACCTCCTGTCGGACCAGTGTAAGGAAAAGGAGCAGGCAGTGGGGAGGCCGGCTGTAACTGTGACTCGGACTGGACAGGCTGTGGACACTCTGAGGAGGGAGCAGGACCAGTAGAAGGCGGGAGACCAAGAACCTGCTCAAGGAGCGGAACGAAGTACGGCCGCGGCCGCGCAGCGCCTCCAGAACCAGCAGGAACAGCGCCAGCACCCCCAGCGTCAGCTCCAACTCCAGTAGCACCACCAGCTCCACCAGCACCTCCAGCAGCTCCAGTAGCGCCAACTCCAGCACCTCCAGGAGCACCGGCTCCAGCAGCACCTCCAGCTCCAGCACCTCCAGGAGCTCCAGCTCCAGCAGGACCACTAGAAGCCCCAGCAGCACCAGCAGTGCCATGGCCAGCACCTCCAGTAGCACCGGGTCCAGTAGTACCGCCAGCTCCAGCACCTCCAGCAGCTCCAGCCCCAGCAGCACCACCAGGCCCAGCAGCTCCAGTACCTCCAGTACGAGCACCTCCGGGACCAGTGGCTCCAGAACCCCCAGCAGCTCCAGCAGCAGCAGGACCTCCAGCAGAGGTCACAAGACCAGTCAAGAAGGCAAAGTAAGCTCAGGGTGGATCACAAAGTCATCACGCAGTCTGAGCACAAGCAAAGGGCCACAAGGCCAGTTCACATGCAGAGTTATATAGAGGAAAGCAAACAATACAGTGATCACAACCTAGCAAGTGTAAGCATGCAGGTATATGTATATATAGTACAATACAAGCAGAGTCAAGAAGTAAGCAAGTGAGGCACAGTAGGTACAAGACCTAGAACAGTACAGAAACGCTGATGATCACAAGGCTGAAGTGCCTTGGTGAAAACATCAGCAGTGTTGGCCTATGAGGTCACGTAAGCAAGACGAAGCTGGCCACGCTGCTGCAACTCTCGAGCAAGGAAGTAGCGCAGAGCAATGTGCTTCGTTCTGTGCTCCAGTCTGTGCTCCTGACACAAGGCCAGCATGGCCTTGTTGTCAACTTACAGAACTGGAGGAGAACGAGGCGCCTCTCCCAAGTCGGTCAGCAGGTAGGTGGGCCAGCGTAGCTCCTGTGCAGCCATGGCCCCAGCGTAGATCTCAGCCTCACAACTGGAGCTGAGAACAGAAGAAGAGCGGGTAGACTGCCAAGAGACAGAACCGGAGCCAAGACTGAAGGTGTAGCCCTGTGACGACCGCTGCGTAGCCAAGTCGTCAACCCAGGAGGCGTCAGCGTGACCAGTGAGGACAACTCGAGCCCGTCCTCCAAGCACGAGCCCCATGCCCGATGTACAGCACAAGTAGCGCAACACCCTCTTCGCAGCATCCCAGTGCACCTTTCGGTGCCTACCGGGAGCCACGTAGCGAGCCAGAAGGCTGAGAGGGTACGCGAGGTCAGGTCGTGTGCAAGTCATCAGGTACATGAGGCAGCCCACAAGCTCTGGATACGGGCCACTCGGCTCTACGGACTCGTCCGAAGGTGGAGCTGAGAGCGAGTGAACGGTAGGCAGAGGAGTGGACTGTGGCGAGGAGTACGTGAAGCCGAAGCGCTGAAGGACCTGCTGCACCATGTGTGACTGAGTCAAGGTAATGGTGCGCTGTGCTCTGTCCCGGGTGATCCGCAAGCCAAGATAGCTTGTCAGCTCACCTAGGTCTGTGCACGTGTGTCTCTTCTGCAGCTCGGACTTCACGTGGGCGAGTGCCTCAGTGTCAGCAGTAGCAAAAACAAGGTCATCTACGTACACGAGAACGTAGAACGGCGGCAGAGTGGTGTCAGTGCGTAGAAACAGAGAAGGGTCAGAAGTGGAAGGAGCAAAACCAAGAGTAGCAAGAGTGGTCCTCAGTGTGTCGTGCCACTCACGGGGTGCCTGGCGGAGACCGTAGACTGGCCGGCGGAGGCTCCACTGGGTACCAGCAGGAAACGACCCAGTGAAGCCAGGTGGGCGGCGCAGCCAGATCTCCTCGTGCAGGCTGCCCTGTAGGAAGGCTGTGCTGAAGTCAAGCGAGTGGAGCTCGTAGTCACGCTGAGCAGCTACGTGCAGCAGTACCCGAAGAGTGGTCATCTTCGGGGTAGGGGAGAAGGTCTGGAAGAAGTCAACTCCCTGTCGCTGACTGAAGCCACGTGCAACGTAACGTGCCTTGAAGACAGGCGGAGAACCCGGCGGCCGCTTCACCCTGAAGATCCACATGCCACTGACGATGTTCGCCCCAGGTGGGGGAACCTCGTCGACGTAGGTGCCTGTGGACTTCCAGGAAGCCTTCTCGGCGTCCATGGCTGCCTGCCACTGAGAGGAGTAGGGACCCTCTATCGCCTCTGCGTAAGAGCGCGGTCGGGATGTCTGGTGCATCCGGGTCTCCCTCAGGGGCAAGCAGCATGGACACGAGATGAGGTACAGCAGTGGCAACGCAGTGGAAGGACGCAGTGTCATAGAGTGAGTGCCAGGGACAGGTGGAGGACACGGACGCAAAACACGACCAGCGCGAGCAGTGCGGACAGGCGACGCAGCACGAGACACAGGCGACACAGGACGCGACTCAGGCTCACGACGCTCCGTAAGACCTCTAGTCGGTCCAAAGTAAGGAGAAGGACCAGGCAGTGGAGAGGACGGCTGTAACGGCGACTGTGACTGGTCAGGCAGGGTACTCATTATCAGAGGAATAGGACCAGGAGAAGGCGGTAGACCAAGAACCTGCTGAAGGAGCGGAACGTAGTACGGCCGCGGCCGCGCAGCGCCTCCAGAAACAGCAGAGACAGAACCGGGACCCTCAGCCCCAGGGTTTCCAGTCCCAGCAGCACCACCAGCAGCTCCAGCAGCTTTAGCACCAGCAGCACCTCCAGCAGCTCCAGCAGCCCCAGCACCAGCAGCACCTCCAGTACCAACAGCACCGCCAGCAGCTCCAGCAGCACCTCCAACAGCCCAAGCAGCTCCAGCACCAGCAGCACCTCTAGCAGCTCCAGCAGCACCTCCAGCAGCTCCAGCAGCACCAGCACCAGCAGCACCTCCAGTAGCTCCAGCAGCACCTCCAGCAGCTCCAGCAGCACTAGCACCAGCAGCACCTCCAGGAGCTCCAGCAGCACCTCCAGCAGCTCCAGCAGCACCAGTACCAGCAGCACCTCCAGCAGCTCCAGCAGCACCTCCAGCAGCTCCAGCAGCACTAGCACCAGCAGCACCTCCAGCAGCTCCAGGAGCACCTCCAGCAGCTCCAGCAGCACCAGTACCAGCAGCACCTCGACAGCGCCGAGAGTACCACTCACGAAGCTGCTGTGGAGAGAGGGGCTCGCGCCGCGACGGGACACCTAGAGCACCTCCAGACTCAGCACACGCAGGCTCAGCACCCTCAGGCTCAGCACGCCCAGACTCAGCACCCCTAGACTCAGCACCCCCAGGCTCCACACGCTCAGGCCCAGCACCCCCAGTCCCCACACGCTCAGGCTCAGCACCCCTAGCAGCACCTAAGTCGACAGCTACCTCGACCGGCTCGGCAGGGTCTACCTGGGACACACCTGAGGGGGCAGGACCCTGCGGGGGGAGGGGGTCTACCGGGGGAGTACCTGGTGCTAGGAAGAGCGGCGGGGGGGGGGGGAGAGGCAGTGCGGTAGGGAAAGAGACGGTAGTAAGACACCGACTTGTCAAACGTGACGTCCTGAGAGGACAGAACACGACGCGAGGTGGGGTGGTAGAACTGCCACCCGGGTGCGTCAGGAGGGAAGCCAAGGAAGACACAGGGAACAGCACGGGAGGACAGCTTGTCCGCTGAAGTATCGCGGACAAAAGCTCGAGATCCATAGACACGGAACGCGGACGCATCACCAACCTTCCCCATCCACCGCAGAGTAGGTGTGGTCTCCGGCAAGGAGACACGAGGCTGAAGGTTGATCTGATGCGCAGCGTTCTGAACTGCGAACGGCCACAGGAAAAATGGGGAGCAGCCGCATGGATCATGGACGTACGAGCGACGTCCATGACCATGCCAATGCGGCGCTCAGCAATCCCATTTTGCTGTGGGGAGGCCGGAAGCGTGAACGTCTGGCGGATGCCCTCCGCACGACAGAAGGCTCTCAGGAAGTCGGAGGAAAACTCACCACCTCTGTCTGAGTGCAGACGCAGAACAGGAAGGTCCGAGCCAAAACTCTCGCGGAGCTAGCGACGAGTACCGCGGATCCAGCCGATCAACACCTCAGGGACCTCACCCTTGCTGCGCAAGGGGAAGACTGTGGTGTAACGCGAGTAGTCGTCAACGACCAGCAGGAAGTAACGCTCGTAACCCTGTCCACGGACGCGAGCTAGGCCCCACACGTCCATGTGAACAGTCTGCAGAGGAGCCTCAGTCGGAGGGAACGTGGAGGAGTGAGGAGCGGCGCGCTGCCGGCCCTCGACACAGGGAACACAGGTAGGGGCAGGCCCCGGAGGAAGGGGAGGGAGGGACCGGGGTAGACCCGAGACAAGGGTACGGAGGCCATACCTCGAAGACGAGGCAGGGAGGGGTGACCAAGGCGGTGGTGCCAAAGAAGAGTCTCGTGCGACAGAGGACGACACGAGCAGGGGGCAGACACAGGACTAGACCTGGACGCGGCAGCAAACACCTGACTGGACGCAGCTACCTGACCAGACGCAGAGACTGGAGGAGGCACAGTAGTCAGTGTGTACAGACTCGACCCTGGCCTACGGGTGAACGTGGCCAGGTGGCGGCCCGTCCGAGAGCAAGTGCAGTGGGTCACACGCTGACCTCCAGGGGCGAACTGGTCAACCCACGCGTCCTGGAGGTCAGCTCCACTCACCAAGTTCGTAGAGAACGAGGGGAGGTGGAGTCCCGACAGCAAGCCCGACGGGGCCGCAGGACACGGTAGAACCGTGGAAGAGTGCGCAAGGACTGGGCCCCCAGAGGGGTCAGCAAGGGAGACTGCGACAGGCCGACTGAGCGGCGTGAGTGTGGTGCTGTCTCTAAAGAAAGAGCGCGAAGCACCAGAGTCAAGTGTGAAAGTGTGCAAGGCCTCAGTAGGTGCAGTACCAGAGAGAGCATACTCACCAGTACCTGGAGCAGCAGACTCACCAGTACCTGGAGCAGCAGACGCACTAGCACCTAGAGCAGCAGCCGCAATGCCCGGGTCGGGCGGGACACTCAGGTAACAGTCACCCTCAGCACTATCAGACAAAGCATACATGGCAGCAAGGATAGCATCGAAATCAAGATCAAAGATAGGCACATTCTGCAGAAGCAGGTCATGCCAGCGAGGGATCTCAACGGCGTCAGGAAACTGGGCACGCCAGGTGTCAGTCAAGCGACCGAAGCAGCGCTGCGTAGTGTGTGGCAGCCCACACGCCTCCCCACGACGACTGCCGGTGCGAAGAACGTAAGTGCAGGGACCAGCACCCCCAGACCTCCCACGCCCAGCATACCACTCACGAAGCTGCTGGGCCGACGGGGTCTCACGGGAGCGGGGCTGCTGCTGGCGCTGGCTACCACCAAAGCCTCCACGCAGCGCGGCTGCACCTCGACCAGCACCACCGCCGCCGCCACCTCCACCACCGCTGCTGCTGCCTCCACCACCTCCGCCGCTGCCTCCACCACCTCCACTGCCGCCACTGAAGCCCCCACTCCCGGTACCACCCCCACCTCCACCGCCACCCCCTCCGCCTCCTTAACCTCCTCCACCGCCTCCCCCCCCCCTCCACCACCCTTGCTCCCCTTGCCCTTGCTGTTGCGGCATCTCCCACTAGGGGCAGACGCAGCTCCGACCTCCTCAGTGCCAACGAGGTCGACAGCAGCAGCAGAAGCAACAGAGGGGAGAAGGGGGACAGGGGAACACCCCTCAAAGAAAGGGGTGCGACGGTCGCCGCGAGAAGCACCTATAGCTAAGATACTCTTCTCAACTGCAGCAAGGCGCTTCTCTAGCAGGTCGACAGTCAGCTCGGTGGGGCAAAGGGAGAGAAAGTGGTCCCTGACTGAAGAAAGGGAGTCAGGGAGGCGGTTGACTAGGTAGTAAAGGGTGATGTACATGGGGGGGGGGGGTTCTTGGCATAGAAGTCAGTGGGAAGGGCAGCGCGGTAGCGGGCGTCACTAGTGCGGAGGTGAGCAACTAGGTCAGCGACTGTGGCAAAGGCGGCAAGGTCAGGGAAAAGGTACGGCAGCATGAGGCGGCTGAGGGCAGCAGTGGCAGGGGAGGAGTAGCGCGCAACTACAGCGTCGTACAAAGACTGAGCAGTCTTGTACTGGACAAAATGCGCACGCTCTGCAGGCGGCAGGTGACTACGAACAGCAAGACGAGCAACAGCGTCACGAGTGGTCCACTGCGAGCGAACCGTACTGTCAGCAGTGGCAGCAGGAGCAATAGAAACACCGGACGTGTGATCGAAAAGGGATACCCCATGCCTAGAATCACACTGAAGAAAGAGCTGCAGGTTGTCAACCCACACGTCAAAGTCAACTGCACGCCCCTCAGCATCAAAGGTAAGAACAGTAGGACTAGCCATAGCAGCAGTAGGAGCAGGAGAAGCAGAGGCAGCAGTAGCAGCTGCAGCAGTAGCAGCTGCAGCAGCAGAGGCAGCAGTGGCAGCAGTGAAGGCAGAGCAGTGCAGCTCAGTAGGGCGGCGCGGCTCGGCTGGGCGGCGCGGCTCGGCAGAGCAGCGCGGCTCGGCTGGGCGGCGCGGCTCGGCTGGGCGGCGCGGCTCGGCAGAGCGACGCGGCTCGGCTGGGCGGCGCGGCTCGGCTGGGCGGCGCGGCTCAGCTCCTGGCGGCGCGGCGTAGCAGGGCGGCGCGGGTGCTTACCAGGGGCGGGTGCAGGCAGGGCCGCAGCGGGCGGCTGCAGGGCAGGGCCGCAACGGGCGGCTGAAGGCAGGGCCAGCGACAGGTGGCGACAGGCAGGGCCGCAACGGGCCAGTGACGGGCCAGCGACGGGCGGCGACAGGCCAGCGACGGGCGACGACGGGCTGGCGACGGGCGGCAACGAGCCGGGACAGGCCGGCGACGGGTCTGGACGGGCCGGGACGGGCCAGTGGCGGCGGCGAAGGCAGGGCCGCCGGGCAGGGCCGCAGCACGCGGCGAAAACAGGGCCGCGACGGGCGGCTTAGGGCCAGCGACGGGCGGCTAAGGGCCGCGACGGGCGGTGAAGGGCCGTGATGGGCCCAAAAGGCAGGGCCTCGACGGGCCTCTAAGGCAGGGCCACGACGGGCCTCGAAGGCAGGGCCGCGACGGGCCTCTAAGGCAGTGCCGCGACGGGCGGCACTAGGGTAGGGCCACGACGGGCCTCTAAGGCAGGGCCGCGACGGGCCTCTAAGGCAGGGCCGCGACGGGCGGCACTAGGGTAGGGCCGCGACGGGCCTCTAAGGCAGGGCCGCGACGGGCCTCTAAGGCAGGACCGCGACGGGCGGCACAAAGGCAGGGCGCGCGACGGCGCAGGTGAAACAGGCGCGAGGCACGCTTCGGGCAGGACAGGAAAAAAAAATCGTGGTGGGCCCTAAAAAAACGTTCCCACTAGGGAACCTGCTCAGAATACCATGTTAGAATCAGGAACGGAATGAATGAACTAGGAAGCATGTGGGTACAAGTAGGAAACCTAAAAGTGTTGTACCCTATAAGTACTACCCCACTACAGCCTAAACAGACTATAGCATATATAAGTTTGACAGGCCCGTCCGAGTACACGAACAGTGGGTCACCCGCTGACCTCCAGGAGTGAACTGGTCAACCCACGCATCCTGAAGGTCAGCTCCACTCACCAAGTTCGTGGAGAGAGGTGGAGGCCAGACAAAGAGCCAGACGGGACTGCCGGACACGGCAGAACCGTGTAGGAGTGTGCAAGGACCGGACCCCCAGAGGGGTCAGCCAGAGAGACTGCCACCGGCCGACTGAGCGAGGAGAGTGTGGTGCAGTCGCGAAAGAAGGAGCGGGAAGCACCCGAGTCAAGGGTGAAAGTGTGCAAGACCTGAGCCGACGCGGTACCTGAGAGAGCAGGCTCACCAGCACCTGGAGCAGCAGACTCACTAGCACCTAGAGCACCAGCCTCAATGCCCGGGTCGGGCGGAACACACAGGTAACAGTCACCCTCAGCACTAATAGACACAGCATACATAGCAGCAAGGATAGCATCATAATCAAGATCAAAGATAGCAACCCCCGACTTAAGCAGATCACCCCAGTGAGGGATCTCAGTGGCGTCACGAAACTGTTAACGCCAGGCGTCAGACAGGCGGCCGAAACAGCGGAGCGTGGCGTGCGGGCCGCCGCACGTCTCTCCACTGCGGTCACAGGTGCGAAGAACGTAAGCGCAAGGACCAGCACCCCCAGACCTCCCATGCCCAGCGTACCACTCACGAAGCTGCTGGGGCGACAGGGTCTCACGAGGGCGCTGCTGCTGCTGGCGCTGGCCACCGCCAAAGCCTCCCCGCTGCAGAGCGCCACCCCGGCCAGCACCACCGCCACCGCCACCCCCACCGCCTCCGCCGCCGCCGCCGCCACCTCCACCCCCACTGCCGCTGCCTCCGCTGCCTCCACCTCCACCACCTCTACCGAAGCCCCCACTCCCGCCACCACCCCCACCTCCACCCCCACCCCCTCCACCGCCTCCACCGCCACCACCGCCATCCCCGCCATCCCCTCCAGCACCCTTGCCCCCCTTGCTCCTGCCGCTGCGGCGCCTCCCACTAGGAGCAGACGCAGCTCCGACCGACTCGTTGCCAACGAGGTCGACAGCAGCAGCAGAGGCAACAGAGGGCAAAAGAGGGACGGGGGAGCACCCCTCAAAGAAAGGGGCACGAGGGTCACCACGAGAGGCTCCTACAGCGACTATACTCTGCTCTGCTGCAAGGAGGCGCTCCTCGAAAAGGCCAACGGTGAGTGTGGTGGGGCAAAGGGAGAGGAAGTGGTCCCTAACCGAGCGAAGGGAGTCAGGGAGCCGGGTGACGAGGTAGTAGAGAGTGATGTACATAGGGGTGGGGTTCGCGGCGCAGAACTCGGCAGGAAGCGCAGCGCG